ACAGATTGGCATGGTGTACAAACGACCACACAAAACAAAGCATTCCATACATCAAAATTTAAACATGCCATATACATACATGTGTATGTGTATATGATGTCTATTTCTATGTATGCATGTGTACATTTGTATATGTACACATATATATACATGCATACACATATACATCGATATCTAAATGTCTATATATGTATATATGTGTGCATGTCTATGTAATTATATGTAATTCTAGAAGCTAAGAACAGCGAAGCAGATATTTAGCTTATTTCACGGCATTCCAATTGTGTTTATTATCCTTCAACATCTGGGGGTTTTGGTTGGTTGGTTGGTTTTGAGATTCTGGGGGTTTTGTTGTTTTGCTTTGCTATTGTTGGGTTGTTTGTTTGTTTGTTTTTTGAGTGGCAGAGAGGAGTATTGTACAGAATAGCCAAGCACTCTACCACTAATATTCCCCAATTATGAAATACCTCTTTATACATAATCTTATTAATCGCAGTATTTGTGAGTGAGTATAGTTATTTCATTGACAAATTATTGAATACACAGTGCAAAGTTATTGTGTCGAAGGCAAGTTTCTTATATGCTTAGTGGAGTTAGTGTTTTGTTATTAGCATAGGCCTTCACAGGTACTCTCTACCTATCAACATTGGTGCTGCCTGGGAAAGAAAGCCTTGGGAAGACAGAATAGAGAGTGCAAATTCCCTAGAAATTAGGGCTTCATGTTTTTCCTGAAACTCACAGACATTTGGACTAACATTTTCTGTATCAATATTAGCTATGCACACACACAGACACACATACACCCACACATTAATACGTGCATATAGATGGCATATATAGGTATATATATATATACATATGTATTTAATAAGTATGATGTATATACATATATTTATGCAATGTGTATAAGATATATGTAGATGTAAATGTCTATGAGGGTACTTCCCAACTGCTGTCCTGTTTTTTTCTACTCTGGAGAAGGAGGAAAGAACAGAAAAAGAAAAAAAATAGGCTTGATCCTTTGCAGTTGGCTAATCAGTTGACCTTGAATGGTTTTCAAGCAGCTGCAACCATTGGATGCTTAGTTGAATCCTTAAAAAATCACCAAGGGAATTAGTGTTTCCTGATTTCAAGGAAACAACAAAGAAATGGTTGCTCTGGCTCTCAACTCCAAAAGCACAGTTCCGGATGTCAGCATTTCTTTAGAGACTAACACTAGAGTAAGTAGCTGACTCACATTTGCAAAATGAAGCACAGCTTTGCAACAACAGAGTGATGATCCAGGATTGGAGGCTGTGGTCCAGCTCTGGCGATTTACATCTCCTCACAGGTATCACTTGCCAACGGCTGCCTGAAGAGAACAGCACCAAAACTACTTGTAATGGAATCACAAGGCAGACTGTCATACTGTACTCTCTATTATTTATTATTACTATTACTATTATTATTATTACTATTATTATTATTATTATTTATTATTGTGTGTGTATGGTTTGAGAGTATAGGCATAGAGATACAACAGCATGTGCTGTGGCATCTATGTGACAACCAGAAGACAGCTTTCTGGAGTTAGTTTATTGTTCTCTTCTACCTTGTTGAAGCTTCATTGCTTCAGATGCTATACTTTGTATTGTAAGCTTGATGGTCCACAAATGGAAAAAAATCAGTCATTGGCTCACTTATAAACTAAAAGTCTGTCTCCTCCACTTGAGATCATTTTAGGGTATACTGTACAGGGATGTAAAGTTCGGTGGTAAGCTAAACATACTGTAAGAGTCCATGAATCAAAGAAGAATGATACCCAGGACTCAAATAGTATGTAAGAATGATACCCAGGACTCACATAGTATGTAAATGCAAAGAGTGTTTTATTTTGCAGAAATCCAGCATTCTGCAGTCTCCCATTACCAAGATAGACAACCAAGTCTGCTTGTAGGCCTGATTTAAAGCACGTTGGGGAATTCCATGTTAGGAGACCTCTATGTTAATCTGTTGGGTCCATCTCTAAAGGCATTCCATTACCAGGGTGTGGGGGCTGCAAACTTGCTGTGGGGGTCTGTAAACTGTTACTGAGGAAGTCTGGAAACTGCTGCTGACCCACTGTCCTTGCCTGAGGCCAGGTGGCAGGGCAGCTTCTGAGACCTGGACTTGCCTGGAATTGCCCAGTTCTTGGAGACAGAGATTTAGGCCTAGTCTCCTTAACTGCCGATTTGAAGCCTGTCATAGAATCAGCTTAGCATTCTCAACATAACATTTCAAAGAGATACTGAGAAATTTTCCAAGTGTCTCTTAATCTCATAGATAAAAGAAAAGGTAACAGAAAACTTAGCAACTAATGATAATGTAGCTAAAAAAATCCAGGATTTGAGGTTTTAAAATAGCAATAAGCATATTGGCTGCAAAACCCGAACATGTCTTCTTTACAATGTTCTATTAAATCTGAGCAAGACTCGTGAGTGTCTGGATCCAAATTGTCTAAGCTTAGTGTTTTATTTTTTAAGTTTCTTACCTGGGTCTTCCAGTCATCCATTGAAAAAGTCACAAAGAAGTCCAGAATTCAGGTGAAATTAAAACTCCAACTGCACACATCCAATACAGCTAATGGATGTTATTACCCTCTACATGAATAGTGCTTTTTTTTTCTTTAAAATATAAAATATGGGATTACAAAGGGTCATATTACACATGTTATGAGCATTAACTGCAAGTGGGAGTTTAATAGCTAGTTTTTGAGCCAATTTTTGAAATGGCAATTTTCCTCCCTTTTTGTGTTCTCTGACCATTTCTTCAGTCTAATTTGGTTCACAAGCAAATTATACCTTCAAATGACTTCATTTAGCCTGGGCAAGTAGGCAGTTAACAGTCATTTCAAATTTATTTCCTGTCGTTTGCCTTTTGAAGAAAATTCCCAGAACTATATCCTGTGCCCCCCATCTCTCTTCAGGAAAGCACTGCCAAAACTTGGACAGGCAGGGTGCCCTTAAAACCCAAGGCACTTTGCTTATAAGCTTTCAAACCCCACCCAAACACAGAAGAAAAGAAAGAAAAACATTACTTCAGTGACTTATTCGTAGACAATTCGATTTTTAAAATATAGAAACTGAGGCTCTGGGAAGATGGTTCAGTATTTATGATAATTGCCTGCTATTACAACAAACCCAAGTTAAATTTCCAGCACACACATGGCAAGTCATAACAGTCTCTAACTCCTGTATCAGTGAAAATGTGAGCCTCTGGCCTCAGGTATCATGCACCTGACACTAACGGAGCACAGATATGTAAGTAAGCAAAAGGTCAGGACACATAATATTAAATAAAATTTTTTTTCCAAGTTTGACAAAATTCATTGTAATTTTAGTAAAGACATTCAGCTCAGTCCTCTCTCTCCATCTTGACCTCAGGTTATTTGAGTCAAGTGAAGAGTATGTAGGAGAGGTGTTATTTCAACAAACAGTAAAATGGACAAATGGACAGTTGGCAGACATAAAAGTTAAATTTATGTATCTTGATATACTTAAATCATGTATGAACTAATAGTGCTATGTACATTTCCATCGTTTTACTTGGGGCTTATTAAGTAAACGAAAGTGTAGTGAATGAAGTGTTAGGAATATCCGCAGGCTGCTCCTTGTTAGTCATTATATTAAAACTGCCTAGTGAGTTATCACGACCCATGAAACTCACCAAAGCTGCCTCCAAATTTAACATTGTAATCTTCAAGGACATTTTATCATTTCTTTTGTCTGTGACTATTAAAGATGCATTTAACTGTCACATTTAAAAAGCCCATATACAATACAAAAATACAAAACAGACATCCTACATACAGAACTCTAAGAGCCTGGGCGGTGAGAGACTCACAATGAACATGTGTCTAAAGAAGCATTTCTGTCCCATCTCAGTCACTACATGTGCTTTTGAAACCACTGCCCAATATGTACTTAAAATAAGCCATGAAGTTGTACAAATAAGAAATCTTCTAGTAAGTTACTAACTTAAATGCTTCAAAAGTCACAGAAGGTGTGTTGCCTCATCTGTCTTCATACAATGTTATACCTCTTTTCCTTTTGGTATTTAAACCTTTTAAAAAAATAAAAGCCAGCCAAATACTTAAAGCAGTAAGTACACTGATATTTTTGGTGGTATTTGTACTTTAAAAGAAACAGCTTCCTTATCTTTTGCCTCAAGTTCTGGTGGAAATGCTTATAGGAACTAGAATAGAAACCAAGAGAAGCACATTCAAAATACTGATTTACTTTGGTAGCAAATAGTGTCCTTTGAAGAATCCTGAACAGAGACAAGCTCCATTGAAGTGGGCTAATTATAATATTCAATACTTCATATAAGAATTTTTAACAACAAAAAAAATTGTTTACAGAGCAAAGCGTCTGTACCCACTGTGAGCGAAGCAGTACTAGCATATAATGGCCCAGAACAAAATGAAATAAATGCCCATAGGAAAAGGTTCATTCTAACCTTATCTAAATTTACTCTCAGTAAATAGTCCTGTAACAATCCAATACTCCCTCTTGGTAAGGCTGTTCCAGGGAGCCAGACACTCAGGTTATGAGGGGAGAGTCAGAGACAGTAACTTTTGGCTTCCCTCTTAATGTGCTAATAGTTGTATCTAAAAAAATATGCAATTCTTAGAAAGGTACCACTTCTGATTTCTTTATTATCTGTAACCCTTGGAAACTAATCATGTGAAACTACAAAATTAGCAAATGTCTTGAAATCTGTATACAAAACATAAATTGCCTCTAATTGCAAACTCTCCTTTATTAGTGTACCACTCAATCTTTTAAAAAAAAAAGAAAAAAGGAAAAGAAAAAAAGAAGAAAGAAAAACGGCTCCAAAGCTAGTCTTACACCATTCTTTACAAAAAGGAGACTGCTCCTTCTAACTGCACCCACCCACACCCCAATCTCAGAACTCTTCACTTAATTGTCTTGGTCATGGACGTTTCCAAGATGAGATTTTATATTTCGCTCCCACAGCTTCTAGTTATCAGAAAAGCCATGCTTTCCTTTATTAAAGGAGTTTGGTCCGGCTGATGTTGGTGTGTCCCTTCCAATATTCTTCATGCTCATCTTTGCTTCTGGAGGCATTTCTTCTGGCTCACTATCTTCATCTTCATTGAAAGCTGCTGCTACCGAAAGAGTTTTTGGAGCAAGAGTTGGAACTGTTTCCTTAGGCTTACTTTCTCCGAGTCTAATGGAGATGGCGGATGCTTTCCTTGCCGTCTGACTACCTACCTATGGCAAATCCAAACTTGGACATCTTTGTAGGCTTTGTTGGGAGGTCTGCAGCTTCATCTTCAGCTGATCGCTTTTCAGCGCTGCGACTAGAACTTTCCCTTCCATTACTGGAAGAAATAGTCTTAGTTTTCAGAGGTTTTTCTGCTGCTTCTTCAGGTCTTCCGGCGGCTCCAGCTCGCTGCGGCTTCTCAGGCTTCTCCTCTCCCGCCTTCCCGTCCGCCATCTTCCCCGCCGCAGCCTCTAAATAAAATTTTTAATTAAAAAAAAAGGATGAACTGAGTAATGAGCAAAGGCTAGGTCAGAGTTTTGAAATGAGATTTTCTGCCAGCCCATTGTGAAAGTTTAGAAAACTCTGTTCATTTCTCAGACTTTATGTTCATATAACAGTAAAATCAGGTAAGTAATACCATCTTCATAAAGTTATTGAGATGATAAAAAGAGATAAATACTATGGTTTCACAGTCATGCCTATTTAGGTAACACTAATTGTGTACTCAATGGGCTATTAATTTTAAAAAGCACATCAAGCTGAAGGGGGGATATTGGGGGTGATATGAGAGGAACAGGAGGGCAGAAAGATGGGGTGAATATGAACAAAATATGTGGCACACAAGTACACAACTCTCAAACAATAAATTAAAAATTAAAGATTATAACAGCTAAAACATTTCTACTATCTGATAACATCATAGCGGTGTGATACCGTAGTACAATACATCATTCACGCAATTTGGTGACGCCTGTAAACAAACCTATCACTACACAAGTGGCATCGAACTATAGCAAATGCAGAGCTACTTTGTATAGCCTATAGTAACTGATTATAACAAACAGCCCCATTATTAACTTATGTCTTTTTAAAAACTGTATTTACCAGGTAGTTTTCTAATAGGAAAGCTTCACACAATAAATGAGATATTAATGGAACCTATTGATAAAATCCAGCTCTACAATAAAATTTTCATTTATGTAGCAGACATTTCCAACAATACATTTGTCTTCTCTTTGGATAAGCTAAGTAATGGGCAGATTATCATCCGGAGCTAAACAGAATTTCTCTTCCCTTTCTCTGCAGTTTATATTTTATGTGATCTGGAAGAATCACCACTTAATAGACAAGACTGAAGCTTCTCGTTCCTGTAGTAAAGGCTGAGAAAATAGTAAGAGTAGAAAAGGCAGTAGACACTTGGGTCAGTTATCCTCAACTTTATGAGTAAGCTTTCAAACCCCAAATAACTGTCTACTCAACAAAACAAATACAAAGTATTTCTTTTTAAAGAACTTACCTAGCTACAGAGTTGATTTTGAGATTTTTGTTTTGTTTTGGTTTTATGTCAAGTACATTATAACAAGAAGTGGCATGTTTCAAAACATTATCACTTATTGCTTGGTTGTTTTTTGTTTATACAAACATTTTAGTTGGCATACAAAATAATGGGCTTTACTATGCTGTTTTTATCTATGTATGTTAATGTTCTTTGTTTGCTATCATTTTTAAGAACTTCATTTGTGTTAATCTCTACAGTTTCTTGAGATAGGTACTAATGCTTCCAACTACTTATAAAAAAAGACTTACGGTCCAAGAAAATTACAAGAATAAATTAATTTATCCATTTCATTGTTGGTGGAGCCAAAATTTGACTTTGGCATTCTATCTGTAGAATATATGGTTACCCAGTATTATACATTGTCTGTAAGTTTTCAAGATAATTAGAAATAGAAAAAAATTCAAATCTGTAATTATTTTTCTATGCATCGATTTTCATCATGGGGTAGATGAACTTAACTGAATATTATAATGATCATAAATATTCTGTGGAAATGAGCATTTACTTCTATAAGAGACTTTTAGGGTCTCTCCCTTGAAATAGGACATGCTTAACAAGAAAGGGTGAGGCTCAAAGAGGATAGCTGAGATGACCCACTCAAAGAAGAGCCTTTGAACTTGGCTCTTGCCTAGTTTCAGGCAGTTCCTTTCTTCATAAAAGGAAATAACCAACTCCAGAGCACCGCAGAAGTTCACCCATTGCAAATGACAAGAAATGCCACAATAGAAATAACATCTTAATATTTAACTCTCTGATAGAACTGACATCACAATCACAGTAGACCTGTTTAGCTTACAAAGTCTAAAATCTATTCCCAAGCACATGTCAGAAACAGAAATTTTTGTAGGTCTCCCCATAATTTAGACAAGATGGAATTGTTCCTCACAGACTGCTGGAAATAGAGAAGAAAATCAATAATAATAGATTTGTCTACTAAATAAAATGCACCCAGAGCCAACCACTGTGAAAGAGCCACCCTTCTGCATTCTGGTATGAATCCATTAAGCTGGCAATGCTATGTTTACGGAAGGACACAGCGTAGAGTATTAAGTCCTTTCTATACTTTGGTGACAGAAGAGAGCATGTAGTACAGCTGTTCACCAAACAACTATTGTGGTATAGAAGAGTGTTATCAAAAAAAAATAAAAAAGAAATGATAGAATCAATGCTCAATAAGAAAACTGTTTATAGATGAGATTTTTTGATTATTGTGATATGGTTGATCAATATTATTTAATCTCTAGGGCTGTCCAACAATATTCCCAAATTTGAGGATATAATAAGTTGTTGAATTACATGGAAAAATTTTTTGTGGTTTTGAAGCATACTAGACTTGTTTTAACATTTCCTAGTATTTGCAGACCAAATCTTTAGTAACCCTCTTAAACAAGTGTGTTTGCAGGATATTTTGTTCCCTGAGGTCCCTCTTAATATTGAACATAGCATGAAGCTCTGGATGTAATATAGACCCCCATATCATTAGAGTTCCCTATCATCCCAAATATTCCATATGAAGCCTCAATTCCATCACTTTACAATGAACACACAAAGCAAACTTCCTTTAGACTTCTTGATGACTAGATGAAATGATGACATTATTATTGCATTCAATACCCAACAGAAACCTAAATCTTCACGTATAACATATTAATCTAGTTAAGTGCCTTTTCTAGTTGATAATAATCTTCTTTTATATCTATAAACATCTTTAATTTCTGTCAAAAAATTTGAGTTTGCTTAAACAATGTTTTGGTGATCTCTTTTGAATCTTAAAAGAGGATGTGTTTTTGTGAAGATGGCTCTGAAATGAAGACAAACACTGAGCTCTAATCTCACAACAATGGGTTTGAGGAATTGGTTTGGTCCACTTGTTCTTTGGATTCCTTATTTCCACAAAAAAACTAACTCCATTACACTCAGGTTTAGGAAAGAGTTGGTTTAAATTAAAAAAAAAAAATGTAGTAATTTTAGTTTTAGGGTTTTGTTGTTTTTTTAAGGCTTTGGTTTTTTTTTTGTTTTTTTGGTTTTTTTTTTGAGCAAATTCCATGCTGATTACCACAGTAAATCCACCAGTTCGCATTTGTGTCAGCAGCTTATGAGGAGCAAAGGACACTGAGAACATTAGGGAAGAGACAAATTAAAACAGAAAATGATACCATGTATGCATGAAGTGCCTCACTGAAACACAGTACTCTTTAAGGTAACCTATAATGATGATGATGATTAATAATAATAATAATAATAATAATAAATAATGAAGAAAAACCAAATAAATAGTAAATGTCTAATTTGTAGAGTGACCTCGAGAACTAATGATCTTAACTTGTTCATGGGAAATCTTTCAGTAGTCTTCTGACTCAAATTTTTCAAACTATTTTCTCAGGTGACCAAGGGCTCAAGATTAGCTCAGGTTAATCATAAAATAAGTAGACAACACAGTCACATTAACTAGACCACCATGTGACTCTTCCCAACAACATTGGAAGTTAGATAGACTGATAGAGGCATGATAAAGTGTACAAAATGGCCATAATAGACACTCTTCTGGCTATTCCACTGTTATTAGAAGAAAAGGAGATGTGTGCCATGCCAGCCATAGGGGAAGGGATACATCGCTCAGCAGTTAAGACAACTTATGGTTCTTACAGAGAATCAGAATTCAGTTTCCAACACTCGCATCAGGAGGCACATACTGCCTGTGCCTCTACATCTAGAGGATCGAATGCTCTTTTCATATCTCTTCACATAATGTATGCATGAGTGTATATAGCCACACAGAGACAAATATATATATTTGTGTACTTACATATTGTTTATTAGACCTGTTGATTCCCTGTTTCAAGGAGAAATTTATCTGTTTTTAAATTTTTCTCTGTGTGGCAAGTGATTCAATCATGATATTCATAGTTTGTTTTCTTTTTTATAAAATTGCCCCATTCGTTGGAATGATCTCTCTCTCTCTCTCTCTCTCTCTCTCTCTCTCTCTCTCTCTCTCTCTCTCTCTCTCTCTCTCTCAAACACACACACACACACACACACACACAGAGAGAGAGAGAGAGAGAGAGAGAGAGAGAGAGAGAGAGAGAGAGAGAGAGAGAGAGCTTGTTATCTTTTCCTTCTCCATTCTTTCAGCCATGCCTTTTATTTTAATATCTGAAAAAAAGTAGCTAAGAATGTCTTTTTCTACAAGTTAGCTCATCAGAAACAAAGAAATGTTATAACAGTAATTATAAAAGCCGTTAACTATTTATTGTATGCCAGACAATATAAATAAATATTTAACATAAAATAGGTCACAAACCAGGTCAGATCATCTATGATATTATTGCCATTTTATGAGCAAGAGAACTGAAGCTGACATAAGGAGAAATGTTGCATACTTCAGGGTGAACTGATATCATTGTTGCCACAACCTCTGATTTTATTAGGGTCCCTCTGTCTGGAAAACTTTAGAATCTTTTCTACTCTATTAGCAATAAAAGCCTGAGTCACTGCATTGGCACGTTGCCCATCTGAGCACAGCAGGCTTAGGAGTTTGTGCAATATAGTGTCATGGGGAGGGCTTGTGTTACAGAAATGGATCAAGGTGCAGTGGCTTTTGTAGATGAAAGTCTAGCTCAAGTCCATTCCAGACTAGTGCCACAGACTTAGCTTGAATTGGAGTATGGAGTCAAAGGGCAGACTGGGTAGTATGTCTCAAAGTGGTGAAGAATAAACACCAGATTCAAATGACCTCTTATGTTTTATATGTATTCGTTTATTCTGTGGGCATATATACACATGATACAAAGAGAGACAGAGAGGAGAGGGAGAGGGAGAGGGAGAAGGAGAGGGAGGGGGAGGGGGAGGGAAAGGAGAGGGAGGAGAGGGAGAGGGAGAGAGAGAGGGAGAGTGA